GATGACTCCATATCAAAAACTCTTTTCTAGTGTTTTAGGAGATGTGAGTTTTATTAGAACAATGCCAGAATTCACAGCCCATAACAGCGCAATTTGTTGAAGTTATTTTGGAGTTGATTTAGGAATCATAGAAAATCATGAAATGGGCTGGAGTCTCATTATATGTGTTATTTTTCCAAACCTCCTCTAAAAAGTCTTTCAGCTCTCTTTGCCCTTCTTCTGGTAAGCTTCTTCCTCCTGTACCCTTATCATTTGTACTCTCCTGACATAGTATTATAATTACCTGTTTTCTTCCTATTTCCTCCCATTAGAGCACAAGCACCTTGAGGGCTTGACACTAAAGTTGTTCAATAGTATATTTTGTGTGTCTGATGACAGGCATTCAACAAAGATCTGCCAGGGGAATGGATGATCATGCCTCACATTTATATAAGTGCTTTACACTTATAAAAGACTTTACTTTGTTGTTTGACTCTCTTAATACTCTTATGGGAAGCAGAAAATCCATTTATCACTCCTAGTTAGAGGTGTGAGACTGGGCTAAGAAATGTTGTGTAACTTGAGGGCCTACAGGCTGCAATTTCAGGAGACACAGGATCCCTGTTTGTGAATTCCTGCTCTGCAGTTCTTTTCTGTTTTCACAGCTATTTGTCCCTGAGCCAAGTGACGAGGGCAGAACAAACTTATTCCCTCAGTCCTTTTGGCTGCTCCAGGCTAGGCCTCCAGACTTTTCTGTTGGATTCTTTCGTTTCTAAAATAGCAACAATTTTTACTTAGGAGCTATATATTTCCCATATGTAGGTGAAAGATGAAAAATATTCTTCTGTTGAATCTCTAGTTTCTCTGCCTAGATATGGGACTACAGAATGTGGCATTGAGCTATGATAGAATAAAGGTAGGAAGAAGACAGACAAGAAGTAAATTGTAATTTTGCAACTGTACTTTTAAGAAAATTGAAGTTTCAAGATACAATCAAAGTCACCCAAGATTACAATGGTGTTTTCACCCCAGGCCTGTTTTTTTCCCCTTCTAAATCTTTCACTCCTAATTTCTAAGAGTCTTTAAAATCAAATAAGTGTGTATATTGGGCCTGTGCTTTTCTTCCATAGTATAAATTCACAGATCCTACCGATTTTTACACCCAAGGAAATAGCACCACTGATTGGAGTACTGCTATATCCTCAACTTCCAATACATGCAAATGGTCTGCATTTTAACGCAGGCCAGGAAAGGGTGGCCTGGTACCAGGTATACACATCGTCAATCATCTGTCTTGAGGACACCCCAAGACCACAAAAGCACCTCCAACCCAGACGGTAGTAAACCTTACCCTCGAATGCCGACACTCCCCTCCTTCCAAGTGTGTACCTCTTTGATTCTGCTTAATAAATCTGCTTATGCCTTTCACCGATGAGTCCTGCAATTCCACAGTCAAGAATGTGTTCTGTGGGTGTGTCAGGAGGATGAGTTGAGATCCCTAGCTCCTTTTTTGGGGGGATCTCCTTGGGCCCAATCTGGTGACAGTGTGAGATGGAGGTGGTTGCTATGTGTGAGGGGAGGAAGCTGTGGCTTTCGTGTGGCCAGATTTATGTTGCTCAGAGGACTATCAGGGCAAAGGCCTGTGGTGCTGAGGCCTTGGGCTTGAGATTCCTCCTTCCACTTCTATCTCCAACACGTTCTCTAAGGGTGATCCAGATAAAATGGAGTGGCAGAATTGGGAGAAAGATGCTGACTATGGGGCTCCAGGAGATGTTGATTGAAGTATGAAAGAGTGGTATGGCCAAGGTGAGGGTGGGGAGCAGTCAGGGCTTACTTTCTGACATTAACTGTATTAAATAATTACATGCAGTTGGACTCTTACTGTATTTGGTTCTCTTCTGCACAAACCCCTGATGGTTGAAGCTAGGGAGAGGACAAAGGAAGGACTCTTTCAATTGGCCTTAAAAGCTCTGCACTTTTTCTTGATAAGCAGGTTCAATTTTTATTTTTTTTTTTGGTACCAGGGATTGAACTTGGGACCTTGCACTTATCAGGCAGGTGCCAGAACCACTGAGCTAAATTCCCGGCCCTGCACCTTTTCTTGAAAGAGAATGGACAAAAGGAGTACAATACAATTTTAGACAATCAGGAAAAACCGAATGTCATGGATATTTGCGAGTGGCATAGATGACTACATCATCAAGAAGTTAAAATGAGGATGACAAGGGGTTGGGGGTGTAGTTTAGTGTTAGAAGCAATGTTTAACATGTGCAAGGCCCTGGGCTCAATCCCCAGGACAGCAAATGAAACAAAACAAGAGGGCTTGGTAGTCTTGAGTCAGCTTCACACATACACAATACCCAGATCATAAAGCACCATCAACAATGACATCATCTCTCCAGGTATACCTGAAAACAAAAATAAAACAAGGTCAGTAAACAAAATAAAACAAGAGGGCTTGGTAATCTTGAGTTAGCTTTACACACACACACACAATACCCAGATCATAAAGCACCATCAACAATGACATCATATCTCCACCTATACCTGCTCTCTCACATCTGGTTTTTTAGAAATAGATACACGTTATAAATAGAAACTTAACACCTAAGACTTATCTTTTGTTTTTTCTAATGAGAAGAGTCTCCCTGTGTTATCCAGGCTGGTCTTGGACTCACCAGCTCAAGTAATCCTGCCTCAGGCATCTGCAAAGTTGGGATTATAGGTGTGTATCACCATGCCAAAACCTACCATTTAAGGACTTTTTTTTCTTTTGCAGTACTGGGTATTGAACCCAGGGCCTTTGTACTAAAGCTGTATGTCTAGCCTTTTAAAATTTGTTTTTTGGTACCAGGGATTGAACTCAGGACCTTGCGATTGCAAGGCAGGCAGCGGAACCACTGAGCTAAATTCCCAGCCCTAAAATTTATTTTTTGAGACACAGTATCCCTAAGTCATTAAGTTGCCCAAGCTGGGCTTGAACTCACTAGGTAGCCCAGGCTGGCCTAGAACTCATGGCAATCCTCCTGCCTCAGCCTCCCAGAGTGCTAAGATTACAGGCATGCACCATCATGCTTAGCCTTAGTGAGTAGTTTAAGGGTGCCAGGACCTTCGCATATACTTCACTCCTCAAAGGAACAGTATAATGAGAATATCATAAATTGGTAAATAAGGAACTAAGGTTCAAAGAGGTTAAGTAACTTGCCCAGGATCATGTACTTGGTGAGACTAAAATTTTCACTAGTGTCTGACAGTGAAGCACATTATCTCTTAACTCTTGGACTAAATTGCCTCATATGATAACATATATATCCAATTTAACCATGGGCAAGGGCTCCCTCTTCTGCCTCACCACGGCTTTTTACATTAAGGACACATGGTTTATGTATTATTTGTGCCTCCCTCTTATGATGGAGCCCACCTTGAGCAAGTTGCAAATTCATAAACTGGCTTTTCATATTCAAAGTCTGATTCTGCCTATTAGTCCACAATAGCTTGCCTGAAGAGCCAGCAGGTGGTGTGTGGGAAAGGAACAACTCCCCACATCACTGGTTACAGCGGAGGTCTCAATGATCCGTGACGCTGTGACGTCTTGGATGGCAAGATAATAGTGCAGCTAAGGGCAGCATGACTTGTACACAAAACTTCTATAGAGGCAGAAATTAATCTATGGGAAAAAAGCAAATTTCCCATAAATCTATGAGCTGCTCCTGCTAGAATGTCTCTTTCTCTTGTTGCTAGGACCTTGCCCAAGTCAGGGCTCTCCGTTCACTGTTCCCCGAACTGCCCCTTTCCCTTTCAAGAAGCTGTGTGTTCAATAAATACTGGCAAACTCCAGGAGACAGTGTCTTAGCCTGATAAGGGCTCTAACCTGAGCCCCCCATTTATGCAGTAAAGATCTTGTCTTGTCTTTGTTTGGTTTTTTTTTTTTTTTTTTTTGGTACTGGGGATTGAACTCGGGTCCTTCTGCTTGTGAGGCAGGCGGCAGAACCACTGAGCTAAATCCCCAGCCCTGTCTTGTCTTTTGTTAACCAGCTTCCCTACCCTTACTCAGGTGATTGGAAGTCTGATCAGCCTCCAGTACTCTTATGTTCCTGGAGGGTAAAGACCTGTTCCATATTTTGTCCACATATCCTCACATCACATAAATTGATGCTTAGAATATTCTGACAAAAGACACCACGAAGGTGGCTAGCAAGGTGGACGGCTAGGAGTAAAAACAGGTTAGGGATATTCATTCAACAGTTGAAGCACCACCTGTACCCTGGTTAGTCGCTGTGGATATGATGCCCACGCGACAATGTCCGTCCCCTCACGAGGCTTCGCTGTACAGATCGAGGTCACGACCAAGGATATAAATCACCCACAGGACATTTTACTTCAGCGCTCCTCAGCAGAAAAGAAAACCAGCAGAGTCTCAGCTCTGGGCTCCCGCAGCGCACGAAGACGCACGATCAGGGCGCAAGCGGGACAAGCGCACCGCGCTGCTGGGACTGAACGTGACCGCCCAGGGGCGAGCCCAGCGGCCAGGCGCGATAAAGGGCGCGGAGGCCAGTGCGCTGCCTAGATAAAGGGATGTGGCCACTCGGGTTCACCTCTGGCTCTTCCAGCGTCCCTTCGTCCCCCCGCAGCACCCGGACGCCGGGCTTTTCCCCGCGGACCACGAGGAAACCTGGGAGCACTAGCTGTCCCCCATTTCTCCCGCCCTTTGTGAAACACTCCCAATTGTGCTTCGTCGGCAGAGTCCGCTGTGCGCGTGCTGACGGGCTGCCTGGGCTCTGCCAGGCCTGAGCGACGGCCCGGAACCCCTTAAACTAGGGCGGCTTTCCCCGCCCCCGGGTCCCTTCCCGCCCCTTCTCCTGTCCCCTCCCCGTCCCCCTCGCCCCGACTCTTCCCCCGCCCGTCTCCCTTCCCGGGCACCGCCTGGGGGCGGAGCGAGGGCTTGGGACCGCGCGAGAGTTCCACCCAAATGCCGCGAGATTCGCCTGTGGCCGCGCCTGCCGCCTCTTACGTCTTTCCCTTTGACAAGTCGCCGATGCTGCAGCAAAAATAAAGGACGCGGCCACCACCGTCGCTGCCGAGCAGGGCTCGGGTCGCCGGAGCCGTGCCCCACCCCCGCCACTCCACTGCCGCGAACGGTAACGCCTCCTCGTTTGCCTTCTGGGTCGCCTGTGAATTTGCTCCGCTGGCTGGGAGAGGCCGCCTGGGGCCGTTCTGGGGTCGCCTCGGAGCGGGGCTGCCGGGGTCCCGGGTAGGTGGCGGGCGGAGCCGGAGGAACTCTCTTGGCTCGGGGGACCCCGGAGGCCTCCTGCTTCCCCAAGCTCCGCGGCAAGCCGACCTCCGGATGGGGCCGAGGGACCCGCCCCTCCAGCGGCGTGCTGTACCTGCCCCGCGGCCCCTGGTGTCGCGCCTTTCACCTCTCCTGCCCCTTTATCCTTAGCGAGCTCCCCTCCCCCGCCCAGGGCTCGGGCCGAGGTGGAGAGCAGCGGTCCGACTCTTGGACCTGGGGACGGCTGCGACCCTGCTGCAGGCATCGCCGGCTGACTTTGGAGGGGTGGAGGTTGGGACTCCTCTGCCTTTGGGTGAGGGGAGCTCATCCTGTGGTCAAGCTTTCTCCAAATCTCCCCCCCGATAAAATAACCATTTATAACGCCTTGGCTGCCAGGATCGGAGACTCTCATTGTATAGTCTCCAGGGTGAGATGAGGATGTTGATGATGACAGAAGCTGTCCCAGAGAACATGGGTGGCAGGCTCCCGGGAGCGACGAGAACAGGAGCTGGTGCTACCTCTCCCAGGAGGTTATGTAAAAGACATGCTATCTATCCAAAAGAGCTGTGAAACACAGGGACAGAATATGTCTTAGTTTTTTTTTTTTTTTAAGTCTGTAATACTTTGAAGGTATGGGTGATCAAATAGTAGGAATCATAAATTGATGAATTTCCTAACAGGCACCCCCCCCCCCCGCCCCAGTAGTTCTTGGGTCATCCTTTCGTAGGACTTCCCCATTCTACATACAGTGTGTTCCCAAAATGTTTTGATTTATTTGAATCATTTCTTTGGCGTACTTGATTAAAACTGGTTATTTATTCATTATCACTGCCTGTACTGTCATCACTTTCTCCTTCATTGAGCCTTCTTCCAAAATGATTGTTAGCCAAATGGTTTTAAAAATTAAGCGTTAAAATGTTCTAGTTGGATCTAGTGTATATGTATTTTTATAATTCTCCTTGTGGTAGTGGTCGAAAAAGGGCAGAGTTTGTGGAAAATAAAAAGACTATACTCATAGTGGGACAAAACTTGCCTCCAGGTTTTATACAGTTGATTTCCATTGTTTATTTTTAGACCATAATTATGTGACATTCATAGTGCTTTTTGTAATTAGAGTGGGTCCTGTATTATGCATATATGTACACATATATACACATATGTATTCTTTACCTGTAACATTTGTGTATCTTGGAAATGCATTAAAAATACAGTTATATTATTTCAGAAAAGACAGCTTTAGATAGGGCAAAGAAAAGTAAGTCATAATACTACCCCCAAATCACATGACAGGATTGTATGGCAGAATGAGATATCTAGGGAGGTTGGAAATCTGGACGCTTTTAAAAATAGGATAGATTGTCATCTGTCTGGGGTTGTCATTGGAATGGATTAAGTGGCCTATTAAGGCTGTTTGTAATTCCAAACTTTTATGAATTTTGCTTTCCCTAAGGTTTTTATCATTTTGCTTCTTAAATTTCCAGTCATGCTGTTTACATGTGACACTTACCCATTCATTTGCTGGTCATGTATTCCACTCCCAGTGCAGATATCCTGGTGGTTCATGGGGGGAAGCAAATATAAATGCGTCACTTAAACTGTTCATGTGAACATCTCCTGAAAATCCCATTTGATTTGAAGGAATTTCAGAGAACACGTTGCTGTGTATTGGTTAGTAGAGGATGCACATAATAAATAGTAATACAATTCTAATGTCCCAAGCATTTTCCCCCAAAAGAGTAAGACTGAATCATTCGTTAATATTTTAAATAGGACAAAAAAAAGGATAATACATTGAACAGCTGATCTTTTAAAGTTAAGATTTTGGGCCTGGGTATACACTTTCCCTTGCATGTGCATGGTTGTTTGTTCAGTATCCAGGCCTGCCCCTTCAATCAGATTTCCAAAAATTAAGTTGACAATAATGATAACATTGTGGTTTCGATTTTGGGGACAAGCTTATGTTAGGATAAAAGCAGACTTGTGAAACAAAAGTTGAATTCTTTAGTTGGACAGCTTTATAAATAATAAACTTTGTTGAAGATAATATTTTTTTTTCAGGGCTGGAGATTGAACCAGGGCCGGGCTTGTTACCACTGCTCCACCACTTACTACCCCCACCGCCCTAAGATTTTTAAATTATTATTACAACTTTGTCTTAACACACATGGAAAGTTTTGTTCTAGGCCAGTGATGGTGAACCTATAGCATGAGAGCTGCAGTGGGCTGTTTGTTACATTGAAAGCTCTAAAAGGCTCACCATCACTGTATCAAGGTATCATGAAGCTTAAAACAAAATATTGTCCAAGTCATTTAAAAAGGAATTTACAAAGCCAGCAAATCAGAATTTTTTTTAACTGAAAAAGTATAGTAAGGGAGCATAAAATAGATAATTTACTTATTAGATGCCAGATATGATTGTTGTGATTATAGTTTGTTCTGCTCTGCTTTCTGGGCCCTCTAAATTAATAGGAATGTTGGAGAAGGGAAGGAGGGGAAGGGAAAGTAAAAATAATTCAGCTATGTTAATGCACATATATATGTCCCAACATTATATACTGCAAACATGTAGGACTAATAAAAATGAAAAATAAATGGGAATATAAAATTCCAAATGAGATCCTTGAGCAAGAAAATATGACAGGTGAATCAGATGATTGATTGATTTTTATCTATTTTAATTTTTTTTTCCTAAATAATGTTAGATTTATTGAAAAGTTGCAAAAAGCTGGGTGTGGTGGCACATTCCTGTAATTCCAGTACTCTGGAAGGCTGAGGCTGGAGGATCACCAGTTATGGCATCCAGCCTAGGCAATTTATCAACTTAGCTGGACTCTGTCTCAAAAAAAAAAAGGCGGGGGCGGGGAATGTAGCACAGTGTAAAGGCCTTGGGTTCAGTCCCCAGTACTGCCCCCAAAAAGGGTCGGGGATTTAGCTCAGTGGTTCTGCCGTCTGCCTCGCGAGCACAGGGACCTGAGTTTGATCCCCAGTACCAAAAATAAAAAGCAAGGATAGTATAGAGTTTTTATATACCCTTCAGTTCACTCAGCCTTCCCTAATGTCAACAGTTTATATAACTATAGTACAATTATCAAATGTAGGCAATTAGGATTGGTATAATACTGTAAACTATAGGTTTTATTTGAATTTCACCGATTTCCTCCCTAATGCTTTTATTGTGTTTCAGGATCTAATCAAGGATCTCGTATTACATTTAGTTGTGAATTCTTAGTCTCCTCCAGCCTCTGATAGTGCTTAGTTGTACTTTTTCATGACACTGGTACTTTTTATGAGTACTAATGAGTTATTTTGTAGAATTTCTCTCATTTTGGATTTGCTTGATGTTTTCTCATGAGTAGGTTGTTATGCGTATTTTACAAGAAAACTACAGAAGAGATAGTGTGTCCTCCTCAGGGCATCATGAAGGGGGAACATGGTATTACTATGTCTTATTGCTAGTGATTTGAATTTATTTATTTATTTATTTATTGTTTGTTTGTTTGTTTGTTGAAACAGAGTCTCACTAGGTAGTCCAGGGTGGGCATGAACTCGTGGCAGTCCTCCTGCCTCAGCCTCCCGAGTTCTGGGATTGTACCCTGATGCCCGACTGCTAGTAAGATTTTAACCTTTATCACTTTGTTAAGGTAGCTTCTACTAGGTTCTTCTAGGTGAACCTCCTTTTGTAATCTATATATATTTTGGAGAAGATGATTTGAGACTGTAAGTGTACTGTTTTTCCTGAGCCTTTCTCCCACTGATTTTATTTATTTATTTTTAAATAGAGTGCTAGGCAAGCATTCTATTACTGAGCCATATCTCTCCCACTGATTTTAATGTTCACTGGAGAAACTTGTCTGCAACTATTGTAATTGTGGTTTTTGTTTAATGATTTTGAATTTCCCTTTTTCCTGGCATTTGTTAACTGAAATTCTTGTGGAAGAGAGAGATATCTTTTCTTCCTCATTTATTTATATCAATATGTCTGTGTGGGAATATATTTTATCCTATAGGTTATCATCCAGTACTATATGTTGTTGTGTCATTGGTCTTAGGACTTCAGATGATAAAGACTAGGAATTATGTGTATGATTGGCCTTCCTTACACATGAGTTCCACCTGAGTTGATTCAAACCATGGATCAAAAATATTGGAAAAAATTGCATCTGTACTGAACATGTACAAACTTTTTTCCTTGTCATTAGTCCCTGAACAATGTAGTTGAACAACTATTAACATAGAATTTACATTACATTAGGCATTGCAAATAATCTGGAGATGACACATACTGAGTATGATATGATATGGGTAAATGGTATGCAAATAATATGCCATTTTAAAAAAGGTATTTGAAAACTGTTGTTCTGTTATCTTCCACCAGAAGGGAGCAACCCTAGAACCACAGGACAACTGGATGCTTATGTCTCTCTATATAAAAGGTCATGAATTTTTCCCCGGTATCAGGGATTGAACCCAGGGTCTTTCATATACTAGGCCAGCTCTCTACCACTGAGCTGCATCCTCAGTCTTTTTAGAAATTTTATTTTGAGACAGGGTCTTGCTGTGTTGCCCAAGTTGGCCTGTAAATTTTGATCCTCCTGCCTCATCCTCCAAAGTAGCTGAGATTATAGGCATGTGCCACCATGCCCAGCTGTAGTGTACTGTACTCACTTATTTTTTTTCACTTTTGAAATACACGTCCACTAATAAGAAATTGCTAACTTATACCCTTATGAAAGCCAGATTTAATAATTAGACTATTTGTATATAGTATTTATCTTTAAACTTACAGTATTTCGTCAAAATACTGTTTTTCAAAGTTCCTTAGGTTAGTTACTTTCTTCTTCATTTAACCCTTTGGTATGGTTATATTAT